ATGGCTGGCAAACCACTCCCACAAAGCAGGCCACACCCACAGAGTAGGTTCCAAAAATTTTTGAAACCCACCACTGCTTCTTAGGCAATCATAAATTTAAGTAAAATTTATTTAAAAATTTATTTATTGAAATAAAATTAAATACATCCCAAGCTCTTGTATCAGGTCATCAACATTTTGTGAGATTTTGACAATCTAGTCTCCAGAAGTTGTGAATGCTCCAATACTGGAAGTTTTTAAGAAGAGATTGGAAAACCATTTTTCTGAAATGGTATAGACCTAGGATTTTCTGCCTGAGCCCGTGGTTGGATTAGAAGACCTCCAAGATCTTTTCATTCCATTCCATTCCATTCTTCTATTCCTATTATGAAATTTTTAAGATTTTTTTTGTGAACTGCCAATTCCAGTTGACTCTAAAAACATGTTACTGAGACATACATATTGTCAGATTCCTCAAATTGCTCCACTTCAGCATTATATCCATGTAAGAACTCAGCATCAATCTTGGACCACATTCACAGCTCAGATACTGATTTAAAGTTGATTGAGACATCCATATATTTTTGTTAATTATTAGATTATATGTTTGATAAGATGAAATATGAACAAAAATGGATGATGTCAGTCAATATATTTATAAAAAAGTTAACTATGGCACAAGTTATTTCCCCCAAGAAGAGAATGTTTCCACCCAAAATATATTCAACTATGTCTGGATCAGATGTATTTGAAATTAGTGTAATCTCAAGTAAAACAGCTAAGGACAATCATTTTTATTGCTTTAACAAAGATAATTTTTCAATATAAGAATCTTGGATGCTTAGATAAATTTAGTTAAAGCAGCCATGTGTAAGAATTTATATATGAGAAGGCAGCTTTTCTATAGGCCATATTTTCACACAGACAGAAAAGGACAAATGCTTTAAATCCATCTCTTTACCTACCAGGACTGAAGAGGACAATTGCTTTCAAATAAGCATATTCATAACCATCAAGACAAAGCTTCACCATGCTGTTGCAGAACTCCTGAAGTTTGAAGATATGCTCCATCACTAGTTTTCCTCTATCTGCTGACAACTTATCTACATTAATACACAGTAATATAAAGATTCTTACTAACTTAGAATTTTAAATTATTTTAAATGGAAATAAATTTAAATCCAGATAACCTCTCACAATCTATGTAGCAATAATGTTTATTATTCTATCTGCAGAAATAATACATAATTGACATATATAACAGAAGAATTATAATTATTTCTACATTTACTCTTTTTCTTTCAATTGCCATCTTTTATTCATCTCCTTTTTACATGAATTCAAGTATCTCTAAATAATGATACGTCATTATGTTTTTTCTACTATTATATTTGGCAAAAAAAAATCTATCAGCCTGTCCAGAGGAAAATAGTAAAAAAAATAGCTTTTAAAAGATGCTGTCAAGCCCAACTAAAAGATTAGTGATTTACTGCCCTTTTATTAGTCAGGCAATGGTGACTATTTCCTATTTCCTCTTATTTTTATAACAAAATCATGCCATTTCTATTTTACTGAAAGAGAGTGAAAGCAGCCTTCTTTTGGGGGGCATGAATACACTTAAATATACACTTACCAATTCAACATTATTTATATTACCAGAGTACATAAAACTTGACTGACTGCTATTAAAGATGAAGTTTGAAAACTGAACAGATTAAAATGGAAGAAAGAAAAAGAAGGAAATGCAAAACAGGCAAAAAAACAAATATAAGAAATACAATTAGATGCAAATAAGCCTTAAGATTTCAATAGCAAAACAAATAACAGAAGTCACTGAGATCACCCATATCTATGTATGACCCTGGTAAGAATTTATTTACCTTGTTGTAAACTATTGTGAAGATGATTAACAAATGCAGTTAAGATTGTTGCTACATTCATTACTTGTGAACACTGTGCCAGACCAAGTGTAAAAAGTTCATTCCAGCAGGCTTTTATTAATGATATGTTATTATCCTGCCTATTTAAAAATAAACAAAAAACAGAATTATTTAATAAAAATATCTGCTTCAATTCAACATGTGCATAGTTATGTTATTCAGTCTTTCTTATTAATATAAGTAATATAAATCTGTGTTGTAAAAGCAAGTTCAATTGGAAAAAAATCCTGCTTTTACTTTTTATTTCTAAATTTCAGTTAAACAAACTATGGTACTATGCCTTTTTTCTCATGTAAGACATAAGAGCAAAAATTACAAGTGAACATCAAGGATTTTATTTGGTCCCACAACCACAAGTACATCCTCATTGTCTGCTAACCATTATCAATAGGAGGTAATTATGAAAGTTGTGTAAAATAAGCGAAGTGTCTAGAATATTCTGGCCATAAAAGTTCACTGTGTCAAGAAAAGTTGAAGGAGAGGTTGGAAATATTGGAAAAAATGCTTAGGATGACTTTAAGCAATGCCACTTACGCTTACACTCATCCCAGAAAAAGGTAGGATTTGCATAAAATGTTTGGCCAACTATAAATCTTTGGCTTGACCAGCTAAAAACTATAAATTTTTAATTATCCATGCACCATATCAACAATATTGTGATTATGTTAGAATTATCCAAGCTAAATATTTTTACATATGCCAAGAGAAATATTGCTTAGAAACTTGATTATCTAATTCAAGTTTTTCAGTACTTACCCTAAAGCTTGAAAGGAAGGAATAGAACGGGACCAGTGCATAGATAAGAAAAGCAATCTGGATGCCGATTCACAAATATAATGAACATTCAAATATTCAGGCATAGGTGAAGGCATGGTGAGCTGTCAGAAAATAATTTTAAAAATGAATGTCTGATAATTTGTATAGTAACAAGAATAAACTGTTCATTTGTGTGTCCATGTGTTTCAAAGCCCAGAAGAGTATCAACTATCAGAATTGGAACACTTTTTAATTAATACCAATATTCTCAATAATCTGTCTCAGAGAAATGAATTATAAAAATGTCATGTACATATTTAAATATAAATGTATTTCCTTCAATAAAACTATACTGATAATAAAGAATGGAACATTCAAAACAGTTTACAGAATAAACAATGTCCATGTAATCACTTCCATTTCAATATCACTGTTAACTTAGCAAAGATAAAATTTTCTTTTTCGGCACAACAGATTTGGGGAGGGGTGTGTGTGTGTCCCAACCGCCAGACTAACTGGAAGGCTGCTAAGATATTTAGTCTTAGCAGCCTAGGCTCTTAACACTAGGCTGAGATATTAGAAGAATCCCAAATTAAGTCACATAATAGTGGGAGGTATGTTTTATGTTAAAAAGGCCCAAAACTAGTACATTGTACAAAAACCTGAACTTTGTTTACTAAAAAATATGTTGCACTGGTTTTGATATGTGAAATAATTTATTCTTTAGCAGCATATTATTAAAATGTATCATTAAACATGGTTGGAAAAATTAAAATAGCTACATCCTATATAAATTACTTAATACTGTTTTATTTATTTTCACATATAGTAAAATTAGTCTACAGACCTCTCATGGTGGGTATTTAGTATCTATATCTATCAGAATTTCTATTGAACTATTCTATTATGTTCATTTACTGCAAAAGCATCAATTCTCCTTACTGCTAAATGTTTTCTTTTGGTAGTCCTTGTTTAGTGACTGCCTTGTACAACAACTATTCATAGTTACAGTAGTGATAAAAAGTAACTTTGTCACAAGTCTCCCATTTATGACCTTTGGAGGTCTGTAAAGCAAACAAAAGATGAAGATCACAAGCACAGTAACAGTTTTATTTAGCGACTGCTTAGCTTAATGACCAAGCTGCCAGTTCCACTTGTGACTTTTAAATGAGGAGCATCTATATTGTTCAATTAAGCAATTGTATATATTCTCTAGAGCTCTCAGCCACTCAAATTGAACCCAAATATATTACTCAAATATTAAATGTATATAAACTCAAACTTTAAAATAATCCCTACAGAAGTTAAATAATAGAGTTATAAATAAATGCATATTTTAAGTACCCGGAAAGCTACATGAGCATCAGTAATTAGTGGGCCTTCTATTTCAACAATATTCATGCTTGCTTCTTCTCCAGCTAGATGTGCACTTGCTTCCATACTTTCTGCAGAACTCGGACATGGTGTACTTTCTCCTGGGTTTAATGCTTTTGCAAGAGTATCAAACGCCCTATAGATAATACATTGGATACTAAGATTAATCAACTACGAAAGGCACAAATATTTAAAAAAAATTATTGATCCAAAGAATACCAATTAAATTAAATTGTAAGAGGAAGAAAGAGAAATGAGATTCCAAATCCTGAATTTTGAAGACCAACCTGAACCTGAAATTGCAATTTATTTTTCGTACAAAGCACTGAGGCGTGAGCTACAAACACTAGTATCCTGTTAATTCATACAGTTCATTCTTAGTATCTAACATGTCTAGGATCTCAAAGCACACTCAGTCAATGTTAAAAAGAAAGCTGTTACATAATTTTGAGTATCAGCATATATTTAAGATACTCTAAGAAATTCTGGGTCACACCTCAAGGAAATTAGTTATCAGAATCAAAGATCAAATTCAATCTGTGATGCAAGGTTCTGTTTATTTTAATCTAGTTAAGTACAGTTTCCTAATCCAGACATAAATTGAAACTATTGTTAATTAACCTACAAAATGATGATTCAAGGCACTCTACAAAGAATGCCAAAATAAAGGAGAAAGTGGGCATAATACCCATGCATATATCTCCTGTTTGAAAATCAAGTAGCGAGCATAACCAGGAGAGTTTTTGCACACCTCCAGTTGTGAATAGCTGCAATCTTTCCTAGTTTCTGTAATCTTTCCTGGTTTCCCTGTGCTCAGTTACTCAAGACCTAGTCATCTCTCATCTGGATTACTGCATATCCATGAGGCGAAATCCATTCAGAAGTTTCAGCTGGTGAGAAAATTATTTGGGGCCCCATATTATATATCATATTTTTCGGAGTATAAGACACACACCTTTCCCTCAAAAAAGAGGCTGAAAATCTGGGTGCGACTTATATACTGAATACAGCATTTTTTGCCTCCCGAAACCCCATCCCTTCATCAAAATGGCTATGCATAGCTTTTAAGCGGCTTTCAGAGAGCTCCCGGGGAGGGCAGAAATGAGCAAAAAACAGGCTGATTTTTGCTCAATTTTGTCCCCCCAGGAACACTCTATAAACCTCCTAAAGTCTATTCACGCCCTTTTTGGAGGGGGGAACGGGCTCATTTTTGTGAAAATGAGGGAAGATCAATGTGTTACGACCTTTAAAGCTCTTAATGGTGTAGGTCTAAGCTACCAGATAAACCTTAATGGTATAGGTCCAGGTTTACCTTTCCTGTCCTACTCTTGCCACAGAAGGGCCTATTGCAGGTCCTGTTGGTCATCTCTCTCCTATCCTTCCATAAGAGTCTGAAAACCTGCCTTTGCCGGTTGGCCTGAGGATCCAACAGAGGAGTTCCATGCTTGAGGTGGATGCTTGATGGCAGATTCTACCTCCCCTCTTTGCTCTCTGCTCTTCACTCATCCTTATTTTTGTTATTATATTGATATATTCTTACTGTTTTCTTTGTTTATTTTATTGTTTTATTATTTGTTTTGTTTTCATTCTTTTAATTTCTTTTTTTTTACAGGTAGTCCTTGATTTACAACCACAATTGAGCAATTTTGTTGCTAAGTTTTATCACCTTTCTTGCTAACGCTTATAAGTGAATTACTGCAGTTGTTAAGTTAGTAACACAGTTGTTAAGTGAATCTGGCTTCCCTATTGACCTTGTTTGTTAGGTTAGAAGGTTTGTTAGAAGTGACCCCAGGACACTGAAACCACCATAAATATGAGTCAGTGATCATTTGTTTGAATTTGATCACATGACCATGGGAATACTGCAATAATGTGTGTGATAAATTACTTTTTCCAATGCTGTTCTAAGTTTGAACAGTCACTGAACAAATTGTTATAAGTCAAGGATTACCTGTATTGTTGTAAGCCGGCTAAAATAGCCCCATGGCCAGATAAGCAGCAAATAAATTTAATAAATAAATAAATAAATTTCACTAATAAAACAAAGTGCATGTATTCTAACTAGGTATCTCTATGAAACTCTATTAAACACTTAGTTGACTGCTCCATGTGGTCTACTAAGATACCGTTGAACATTGAACATTATTCTTTTCATATTTCTTTAACATTCTGCTTTTCCTATGTTATGACAGAACATTTGGATATAATTACTCCTTACCTTGTAACATCAGCACTTGCATGTTCATCTTGCTGAAGCTCTGATAATGATGTATCTCCATTGCTTAAGTTTTCTATCATTGACAGATCCTCACTATTTTGAGATATATCTTTGGACTTACTTAGATTTGCTAATGAAGTTACAACATTGGCTAAAGTACTTAAATCTCCTTGACATGTTTCAACCTAAAGAGTGGGAAAAAGTCACTGTCATTATTGATAGGAATTATTCCTGACAATATTCCTGACATATTATTGAAGAATATTAGTTGGTAGTTTTATAAGGTGTTTGATTAATACATAAAATCACTGATACTAGTAAAATCATAACTAAAACTTATTGCTTAGCAATGTTTTTGACAGAAAGAGTTTTGTAGATACTAAGCTGGTTGAAATAGCTACAGTCTTTATGTTAATAACCACTGAAATATTAGGTGGTACACAACTAACAATGACTACCAATTCTTTTACTTGCAGAAACAAGAATCCCAATAAATCTTGCCCTTAGATATCCATTTATTGCATGATATTGCAATCTAGGAATTTAAACACAGTCTCTGTCATGTAATAAAAGAGAAGTCATTTGTGTTTTGAATATAAAAGGGGAATTCTTGCATATCCAAACCTCCTCTCTATGACAACTTTATTTGCAGGAAGTACTTTTGTCTTTAACTGAATGTATATTTAATCCTTTTGTGATGACTAAAGATTCAATCAAACTATCCAAAGATTAGCATAAACACTGAGGTGATGATACAAGGAGGAGTTAAGCATTGAAGAGTAGGCCAAAATAAAGTATTTTAAAACAATGTACAAAAGGGGCATTTTAAGAGGAAAGGTACAAGCCTTTAAAAAAGGCACTCAAATGAAATCACTTTCTAATCACATTCAGAAATGTTCAATTTAACTTTATAGACATTAGATTATTGAAAACTGAGTAGTTTGACACCTAGTGAATTTTACCATCTTTGGGTATAAGAAATTTTAAACAGAGACTAAAGAATTTAAAATAATTATACAATTGGCAAAAAGCAAAAAATGGAAAGGATTTGGATTTAAGAAAGTTTTAAACAGATTGGGAGACCAATTTTGGGGGGAATATTAATTATTTTTGCTGTAAGAGTTGAAAAACAAGAATATAATTAAGTAATATACTTATGGGAAACAACTCAAATGGATCTAAATCTGTATTAGAAATGAGACTTGATGAACAATGCAAATGGACATTACAGGGAATTAAAGGATCAATCAGAAAAGAATTAAAATGGCTAAAAAGGGCCTTTTTGACAACTGGACTGAGATATTGCTAAGTAAAACTTCAGAAAAGGTTCAGATTTTAGTGGATACATTTGTAGAAGATGAGGAAAAAAATGAAAATACTTTTACCTGACATTACAGAATTTGAAGGCATAGAAGACAACAAATTTGAGATCACCAATATGGGACTATAAAAGACAAATCAGAAAAGGTTCTGGACATGGAACAGTTGTGACAAGAAATTCTGGGTGATGCATCTTTATTATTACAAAATAAAACATTGAAAACTCCTCTTGAATGCCAAAGATTAATGAAAGATCAAAATCTATGTTGCCATTGGAATGATTTAAAGGTTAAGATTATGAAGAACCAAAAAGAGAGAATATAAATTTGGATTAATCAGGGAAAATTTAATTGTTTGATATTTATGGTAACTCCTAATGACTTTTTTCCGAACAAAGACTGAAAAGATGGCAATTCTCTAATTGCATATAAATAAAAATTAGGCTAAGGGGAGAAGATTTTTTTCCGCCTTCATCTGCAGGTGTATTTTCTTTCATCCACCAGATTTTTTTAATTTGTACTTTAAAAGAGGGTAGAATGTTATTACATTAGCTTAATGGATTGTATGATAAAACTTGGAAGCTACTTCGTTAATATTATAATTGTATAATATTATAAAGATCATTTATTTTATCCAATACCTTATCTGCAGTCATCAGTACTGCAGGTTCAGTCTTTAATCCAGACTGATGAATATTAACAAACATTCCAGACTCCAACATGCCTGTTGATCTGAAATGAAAGAACAAAAGCATTGCTTCATGGTTTTAGAAAGGTCTCAATGTCAAAGTGATTGAAACTAGATTAATATTTGCATACCTTGCTGTTTCGCTATCTGTTACAAAAGTGGGAGTTGCTGTAAGTGGGCTTCGCAAATCTTTTCGAATATAAATCTTTTCTGTAGAAGCTGCACAATTTGAAGATTTTTCTCGTGATGCTTCAACAGGTTTTCTTTCACACTGTACAGCTACAAAGAATGGTGGAATTATCAAAATCAATTCAATATTCAACCACATTTAGCTTTAGCTTTTAGAAACCAGTTTTGGATTTTTAGTTACTTTGTCAACCTGACAGTTTTAAATGTAATTGCTTCTTGTATTAAATCTAACCAATTTCTTTTGAAACAACCTCAGATATTATTGATGATTAACTTATGGTTTGAAATTTGGTATACAAAATAGCATACCATCATTTCTTTCATATGTAATTTCTAATAGAATTAATTAGTATCTATTTATATAAATGTATGAAGGTTTTCAAAATTTATATGATCGTAAGATCAGAATTCATGCAGGGGAAACAGGAGGTTAGGAATAAGAAGATCATAACTTTATAGCAGTTTTCTAATCATTTTATTACTGAAACGTTTCCAATGTTGTATTCATATCAATGCATAGTTATGCAAAACCTAAATAAGCACATTTATTGTTATGTAACCATATATTTCATAAGAAAATATTAGTTTGCTAACATTTCTGCAACAGTAATTTCCAATCTTATAATGTCTCTGGAATATTTGAAGATATTCATTCAACTAATTTGTCTCAAGTTTGTATTTGTTATTTCTGGAAAAATAGTGAGCCCAAAGGGCTTAGCAAAGACTAATAATAGGTTTATTTATTGTATAATTGTGTCAGTTTGTACAGCAAGCTCAATCCTCTCATTTGGTTGTATGTTTTAAAGCAATTACAATATATTTCATATATCTGATAAACTTTCAAGGAAATAGCTACTTATTTTATTGAGAATCTCCAGAAAGCTCCTAAGGAATCTTGTGGTTTCAAACAGAATTTGCTTCCTGATGCCACTGATTTGAGCTTCAGAGAAAGGTCTCTTTCAACCCAAGTAAACAAATGAGTTGTTTTCCATAGATGTCAATATGTACAGTTCTCTATTTTATAATGGTGGAAAAGACTGGGACTTGCAAAATCTAAAATTTTCTTACAACTTTAAGATATACTGCAAGTCTCTTTATCAATATTATATATGCACACATATAAGAATTCTAACATACAGGTAGTCCTTGACTTACAACAGCTTATTTAGTGATGGTTAAAAGTTACATCACTGAAAAAAGTGACATGACCATTTTTCACATTTACGACCATTGCAGCATCCTTATGGTCATGTGGTCAAAATTCAGACATTTGGCAACTGATTCACATTTATAAAAGGTGCAATGTCCCAGAATCATGTGAACTCCTTTTGTGACCTTCTGAGAAGCATAGTCAATGGAGAAGCCAGATTCACTTAACAACAAAGTTATTAATTTAACAATTGCACTGATTTATTTAACAACTGTGGCAAGAAAGGTTGTAAAATGGGGAAAGATTCACTTAATAAACGTCTCATTTAGCAACATAAATTTTATGCTCAATTGTGATCATAAGTCAAGAACTACCTGTATAAGAATCCTAAGAAAAAAGATTGTTCCAAAAATAATTTAGGTTTCACAGCGTAAGTGGCATTTTCTTTCTAAACTTTTAATTTATTATTTACCAAAATAAATGTATCATGCAAGAACGGTGCAAAAAACAATACAGCATTACATGAGTTTATGTCTTTCGAACTTACACTCTTGTTTCATTCCAAATGCAATACATCTCTGCAACCTACAGTATTGACATCTGTTTCTATGATGCTTGTTAATCACACAGTCTCTTGTTCCCCGACATGAATACACTAAATTCTTCCGTATACTTCTTTTAAAGAATCCTTTGCAACCTTCACAGGTCACTGCTCCATAATGGCGTCCTGATTTCATAACAAAATGTATTAATTTTACTCTAAGTTTGCTTCTGTTTATCAAATACATACTAACAAATGTACTGTTCTCAGAACTGCTGAATGCTCAAAATGTTCTCAAAATACAAAATGTTTTATGCTTAAAATGAGATAAATGTTGCCATTGGGAAAAGAATGCAGACTTATGGAATATAGACATTTCTATATTTCTATCATATGCTCATCAGAGATGCTCATGTCAACTGCATGGAAATATAAATGGTCATGCTCAAAGAATTGTGCTACTTATCACATATAAGTGCTATTCAAAATGTGTCATTTAAAGCAGAATTAATTCATGCTTTCAACAATTTGATTTTTCCTTTCTGTTGTGACAAATTGTTTTTAATAGCTCATAGCTTTAATGCAATCCCTTTTATGCAATGTTTAAGTGTATTACTCATAAAAGAAAAAGAAAATTAAGTTAAATGCTTCATAAGATGAACATAGGTTAAAAAGTCTTCCAATTCATTCTGCATAGTGATTTACCTGAAGCCTTGTCTCCACAAACAACACATAGATCAAATACTTTATTTAGGTTTTGATCTGTTGAAGAATTGTCTGTCAAAATCTGGAAAAAAAATTACAATGTAATACATCTTGTTTTCACTAACTTCTTTTCTTAAAGTCATATCAATAGACAAATTCCCCAAAACAAAGGAGGGTAAGCATATTTCAAAGGAGTACGTATTTGGTAATATTTCAGAAATTATTATAGTTTTACCTATAATTGTGCACTGGTAAAAACTGAACAGGAAATATAAAAATAATTATGATTAAAGGCATATGAATCATTCTTTAATTTGATTTTTCTATTTTACGGTGTTTCAGAATCTATTCAAATTGTATTTACTTTAGAAAATTAAGACTTAATTTAAGATGCAGAATATCTAGAATATTTATAAATATAGTTTTATTATAATTTTTCTAAATTCATGACTATTTATTCATGAGAATAAAACTATTCACTGGACTACATTGTTCATTATCTAATTTATATCAAAGAACTCAGCACTTGCATATTTCTCTTATCTCAAGTTGCTATATGTTGATAGCATGAAAATGCTTAGCATAACTACTGGAAACAAGGCTTTCATTTTTAAAAGTTGTATGAATAAGCTATCATAAAATAGGACACCATACCTGAAAGTGCTGTGCCGATATATCTGGGGATGTAAAAAACAGTTGGCCTCCTGCAGCATCGGGAGTTGTCAGAAAAACCTTTCCTGGTGTAGCATCTTGTCTTGCAAGGATCACTTTACTTGGGGTAGAACCATCATGATTTGTTAAAATGAACTGCTTGCTTGTTGCAGTCTGATCGAGTGCTGTCACAATCTGAATTTTCTGCCCTGTCTGTTGATCTGTAACAATCTGGTGACATATTTACTTCAACTTATTATTGTGGTTTATTATAAAAAAAAGTTTTTACAAGATGTGATCTAAGAAAGCTGTGATATTATCAAGTTTGACTGACAAAATGAATCTGCTTTCAGACGGTGAGTATGTATAGTATTCCATGAATTAGTATTCCATTAAGGACAACAATATTTTAACCGTAAACATTGTGCCCAGATAACTCTCAAAATTCTTGTCTGTGGAAAATTACTCAATGGAATATATTTTATAGTTTAGTTCTCAATTTACCAATAATTTTAAAAAATCTATACTTGGTGGCTTGAAAAGAATTTTAAAACATTTTATTAAAGAAATAATAGAAATCAAAACCCTAAAAAAATGTGCACATATTGGAATAGATTCAGTTCTTTTCAAGGTAAGAATTTATTCCTGAAAACGTACAATAGGAAAAATACTAGACAGGCATCCATCCGTCTTTCTCAGTCAGTATGTTGGATAAAAATTATTATCAAACACATCTGAACAACATTAGATGAGAAGGCTTATCTAATGCCTTAATGATATATCATTCCTTTTATACTACTGTAGGTATGTAGTATAAAGTACATCCCTTCCCTCTATTTCTGCATTCAGAAGGTGATCTTTTCTCCATAAGAACACATGGGAGCTTTCACAGTTGCTTGTGTTTTTCTGGAAAATACTTTTAACTGGAAATGAAAGAAATCAATATTCTGACTGTTTTTTTCTGACTTGTTCCTTGGCTTGAAGAATTAAGAGATACACAAATCCGAAGGACAGAGCAATGGTTTGTAACTCACCCTCTTTCTAATACTGAAAATATTGGCAGCTTTCCTTTTACAGAATGTTTCTTTTAAAAGATATGATCATATTATGTAATAAAATAAGGCATGTTATGTTGTATTCTAGATATTTCCACTTTATTATTTTTTCTGCATATTTTTCTAGGGCTTTAAAATCATCCTATTGTACACCTGATGTTTAGATACCAAAATATTTTTCAATTATTTAATTAAGTACAAAAAGAGACAGATTTTTACCTGTATCCGCTGTGGTAAGGAAAGTCCTACATCAGCAGGAACAATCTGAATTCTTTGTGGTGTTCCGTCCATTAATGTCTGTGTAACAGATCCTTGGGACTGTGTGATCAACAAAAAAAAAAGGTGAAAGTTGTGTTCTTTATTGGAAGTAAACTCTTCTAGCACCGGATAAAGTTATTTGCTTTGTACTCAAGAGGTCTATAAAATTCTAGTGTTGGATAATGACCTGCTAGAAAATTTCTATATATTCCTTATTATTATAAAACTTTTTTAAAAATGTAAATACCTCCCCCATTTGTTGTTCCATAATTTGATGGGCCAATTCCTCAATAGTTGCCATGATTCTGAATCATCAGTATTCCCTGTTAAAGAGATATTTTCCTTTTAAAAAATTACAATACAAATAATGAACAATTTGGGTAAGAGAAGTAGTTGACCTCATGTTACTTTCTTTAATTTCCCTCTTTTTTGCAGAGAAAAATGAGTACCCTTCTCGTCTATTCCATGTAGGTTCATGACATTAGCATTTCCTGCTTATGCAAAAAAAAAGAACAGCCTTCTTCTGGCAACCACAATTGGTACCAGTAATTGATCATAAAGTGAAGCAGTCACTAAGTGAAACCATGGCAGCCTTTATAATCTTAATTCAGTTTTCCTTTACTGAAAGTCTTAAATGCAAGAATTGGACATAAAGGTATTTTTCATCACCTTCATTGCAATCTTAGCCGAAAATCATATAATAGCGACTGGCTGCACCACCTGACAACCCTAGCCCAGGACCGAAAACAGTGGCGTCAAATTTCCATGGAAGTCGCCTATACCCACGATGGGTGAAGAGGCGTCAAGTACAAGTACAAGTACATTGCAAACAGTTGCTAAACAAGGTATAACTGCAAGCAAAGCAGTCACTAAATGAGGATTACTTCTATTGTTCTACATTCCCAATTGCGTATTCACCCAACATACTCTATTAAAAGAACAGATAAGGAAAATATCATGTTATATGGCTATATTTAAAAAAATGGACTTGACTGTATACATAATTACAAAGTTTTATTTAAGGCATGTTTTAAAATTTCATTTTGAACAAATATCTATCAATTATAGAAGTGTATATTTCCTTAATAATTAAGTATTAATTTCAAAGCCAGCATAATTTCTAAAAAATTCCCCTTAAAAAAACATACCATGTTTCCCAGAAAATAAGACAGGGTCTTATTTTCTTTTGACCCCCCCCCCCGAAATAAGCACTTGGCCTTATTTTCTGGGAGGTCTTATTATTTTTGAGGTGCAGGAGGTGGTGAGCCTAGTCACCTCATGACTGCTGCTGTGTTACAATATTTTCGAGGAGGGCTTATTTTCAGGGGAAGGCTCATTTTAGTGCATACACTCAAAAGCCCGATTGGGCTTATTGTCTGGGGAGGTCTTATTTTCAGGGAAACAGGGCACCTTCTAGGATAATGTTTTTAGAAGCAAAAATTTGTATAAGAAAATATCTAAATAGCAATCATAATAATAAATCTAGGTAAACAGGAAAACAGTTTTTCCCCATCTAAACTGAAGCCATAAAAGGCTAGACTGGTGTTTTTCGCAGATCTTATTCTGGCATTAACTACAAAGACAATATAAATTTTATCTGAAATACATGCTTGATTTTACTACACACAGTCTTTGACTTATGACAATTGGGATCTAAATCTTGGTTGCTGAATGAAGTAAGCAAGATGCCCACATGAATTATTTGCTCAACAACCGTAATGCTGGCACTCCTGGTTGAGGTCATTAAGTGATCCAGGGTGGTTAAGTGGACTGAGTGAAAGAGCAGCCTGCCAGAGTATTTTGGCTTCCCTCCATGCATGGAATAGAACTTTAAGATTTGAGTTCCGTTTTTGCAACCTAGTGAAAGTCAGCTTCCTTCTGTGCATAAAGAAAATGTCTTTGCCAGGTCGCAGGAACGGAACTTGGAGTTCCAGCATCCAGGATCCATTTCTGGAGTCCAGTGAAGGAATTCAGCTCCCCTTGGCAGGCAGCTCTTTCAACCAGTCCCAGAGATAAGAAGAAATCTTCTTGGCAGGCAACTGCAGCATGCAATCTTTCCTGTCGGCCTCCCCACTGACTTTCTGGAGAAGCAGATAGAGACAATTACAAATGTCAATCACATAATTTCAAGGAACTTGGCAACTGGTTGTAAGTGCAAACAAGTTGCCAAATGCCCCCAAAGCATTGTGACCATGAGGGGAATGTTTTATGAGAGCTGTAATTACTTAATGGACCATAAAGTACCCTTTCCAAGACCATTATAACTCTGAATGGTTAAACAACAGGTCATGACTCCCTTTATATAATTCTTTTTTTTTAAAAAAAAACTACTTATTTCTTTTCATTTTTAATATAATTCTAATTTTTGTATTAGATTGAACTGTTATAACTATATCCTTCCTAAATGATTAATCCACACTAGAAGGAAGGCTTTATGTATTTAAATACCTAAATGTTATTTATGAATACACTGATGTCAGGTGTTTAATTTTTCTTGTTTGTATTATTTTTCAAATTTTTATTTTATTAATGGTTCCTGTTAAGTTGAATGATGAAATATAAATAAACAGAAATCAAGCATTCTTCTTACCATATGTATGTTATACTTCAGTTCCTGTAGTCATAATCATTATTTGAAGACTCCTGTGAGTTTATAAAAAGAAATATAATTCATTATAAAGCATTATGAAATCAAAAAATGGACTTATAGAAGGATTTTCAATCAATGCAAGAATTAGCCAAATACCAAGCACATATATTTTATTAAAATTTAATTATTTGCAGTGAAAATTGCCGGTGACTTTTTAATATTTTTAATTGATTATGACTATTTATGCACACATTCATGAATAGATTGTATCGAGATCTGGATTCTAAAGGGAAAGGTGATTTGGAATGCATACTCATCATACCTGTCAGCACCTCCTTAGAGTAGATGCATTTTCATCAAATTTGTGTAACAGTAATTGTGTAAATCAGAAAAGGAATTGCTGATAGTGCAAGATGAGTGCCTATACATAGGAAGCGCAATGGCTGTCCAATGCTAGGCTATCATCCAGTTTTCTAACATTTGACTGAAAAGTATACTACATGGCAAACTCAGCATTAATTAACAGCATTAATTGGATCCAAAGAAGCAGGATTCAGGAGAACCAAGTCTCATCCACTGATTAGCATTTTCCCATGCTAATTATGAAGAACAACATCATACTAATTCCATGCAGCTATTCAGACCCCCTGTCCTCTCTCCAGCAATATCCACTCAGCAGGTTATGAATCAGGGATGTATATTTGTCCCAATTTCATTCAACTCCTCTATATTAGGCAAATTATCAAAAAAGAAACACCATCTACTACAATGGACAATAAAAAATTCTTGGCCCTTAATTGGTTATGATAAAATTCTATTGGAAGTATAAACATAAGTTTCTTGACCTAATTTACAAAAAGACCTAAGCTTTACTTCAAAAATCTAAAACTTAGGAATGTAGGAAGACCACTGTCAAAGATCAAATACCTTACCAGCATTTTTGTGCCTAGATGCAGATGAGTCTGTACATTAGCTAGACCAGGGGTGGGTTTCTCGCCCCGTTCCAACTGGTTCGGTTGGAATGAGGCCGGCAGCGTCCTCGCGCACGCACGCGGCGCGCGTGTGCACGCACGCGGCGCGCGCATGCATACTAGCATCTGCG